CTCGTCTTGCTCGTCCTCCTCCTCCTGGTGTTCTCTCCTCCTCCTCCTCCTCCTCCTCCTCCTCCTCCTCCTCCTCCTGGTGGTCCTCGTTCTCCTCCTCCTGGTACTCTCCCCCCCCCCTCCTCCTCCTCCTCCTCGTCCTCGTCCTCCTCCTCCTCCTCCTCCTCTTCCTCCTCCTCCTCCTCCTCCTCCTCCTCCTCCTCCTCCTCCTCCTCCTGGTACTCCTCCCCCTCCCCTCCTCCTCCTCCTCCTCCTCCTCTTCCTGGTCGTCCTCCTCCTCCTGGTCGTCCTCCTCCTCCTGCTCGTCCTCCTCCTCCTCCTGCTCGTCCTTCTTCTCCTGCTCCTCCTGCTCCTCGTCCTGCTCCTGCTCGTCCTCGTCCTCCTGGTCTTGCTCGTCCTCCTCCTCGTCGTGCTCTTGCCCCTGCTGAAAATGTGGCCCAGGAATGGGAGTTCTGGGAAGTCGAAGAGCACGAAGTTGCCTACAGTTGGCTACGGGCATTCAAAATGTGGCCCGGGAATGGAGTTCTGGGAACTCGAAGAGCACGAAGTGGCCTACAGTTGGCTCCGGGCATTCAAAATGTGGCCCGGGAATGGAGTTCTGGGAACTCGAAGAGCACGAAGTGGCCTACAGTTGGCTCCGGGCATCCAAAATGTGGCCCGGGAATGGAGTTCTGGGAACTCGAAGAGCACGAAGTGTGTGACTGTTGCATTCCTGGCCCGGGAATGGCGTTCTGGGATGTCGAAGAGCACGAAGTGTGTGACTGTTGCATCTGGTTATTCTAAATGTGGCCCGGGAATGGCGTTCTGGGATCTCGAAGAACACGAAGTGTGTGACTGTTGCATCCGGGTATTCAGAATGTGGCCTGGGAATGGAGTTCTGGGAAGTCGAAGAGCACGAAGTGTGTGACTGTTGGTGAAAAACGAGCCCGGCACCCTGCCGCCCGGCAACTCCCCAACACCTGCCCGGACCCCCCTGTGGAGTGATCTGTGAGCTCTTTTGAGTCAACTAGAAACCTATCAGTCTTCGCTGTTAGGTAAAAATCATCCAAAAAACGGCCGTTTCGCTCGGGACATCCTCAAAAAATCGCGAAGATGGCCCAAGATGGCCTCCAAGTCCGCCCGAGATGGTCCAAGACGGCCTCCAAAACGGCCCAAGAGAGTCCAAGACGGCCCAAGACGGCCCAAGAGGCCCCCCAGAGGCCTCCCAGACGGCCCAAGAGGCCTCCAAGAGGTCCTCCAGGAGAGTCCGAAGAGGCCAAAATCATTGATTTTTCCTTGGTTTTTGAAGGATTCTGGCATTTGCGCCTTTTCGGCTCTCCGACGGCTCGAGACGGCCCAAGAAGCCCCCAAGATCGCCCAAGAGGCCCCCAAGAGAGCCCCATGATGGCCCAAGTGGCCTCCAAGATGGCCCCTAGAGGGCCCCAAGAGGGCCCAAGAGGCCTCCAACACGCCCAAGATGGCCTCCCAGACGCCCAAGATGGCCTCCAAGACGGCCCTGGAGCATTCCAAGCGGGCCCCAAGTCGGCCCATAGAGGCCCCCCAAACGGCTTCCGACGGCTTCAGACGTGCCAGGAACCCACCAAGATGGCCGAAGTTGGCTCGAAGCTGGCCCGAGACGGCCCAAAAAGCCCCAAAGATCGCCCAAAGCTTGCCCAAGAGGCCTCCAAGACGGCCAAGATGACCTTCAAGATGCCCACGTGTTCCCCGAAGGCTTTCCAAACCGATTCGGGGAACACGTGGTCCGATAGCTTGGCAGGTCTGGCCTCAACGTTCGGCCACATAGGCGCTTCCAAAAAGGCAGGGGGCGGCGGTGATTCGCCGTAGGCGTCTTCGATCCGCCGCCCCCTGTCGATGCATCGCAGGGGTGCCTGGCGTGCTAGATGATTTCGGTTTGGGTTTTGGTTCTTTTCCGAAAGAACTCCCCCTGGGGCTCCGGCGCGTCCCGCCGGCCACACACCCGGAAGACCCGGTTGCAAACGGTTTTCCTGCCCCAGACGGCCCCAAGATGGCCCAAGATGGCTTCCAAGACTGCTAAGATGGCCCCAAATATGCCTCCAAGACGGCCCAAGATGCTTCCAAGACGGCCTAAGATAGCCTCAAGATGGCCTAAGACGGCCTAAGAGGCCCCCAAGAGGCCTCCCAGACGCTCCAAGAGCTCCTCCAGGAGGGCCCGAAGAGGCCAACATCATTGATTTTCCTTGCGTTTTTGAAAGATTTGGGTATTTGCGTCTTTTCGGGATTCCGACGGCTGAAGACGGCACAAGAGGCCCCCAAGATCACCCAAGAGGCCTCCAAGAGCGCCCCATGACGGCCCAAGAGGCCTCCAAGACGGCCCGAAGAGGGCCCCAAGACGGCCCAAGAGACCTCCAAGACGCCCAAGACGGCCTCCAAGACAGCCCCGAAACGCCCCCAGAGGGCCCCAAATCGGTTCAGAGAAGCCCCCAAGACGGCCCCCGACGGCGTCAGACGGGTCAGGAACGCCCTACGACGGCCAAAGAGGCCCTCAAAGGGCCTACGACGCCCTACGACGCCCCGAGAAGCCCCCAAAGGGCCCCAAGAGGCTCTCAAGAGGCTCTACGAGGGCCCAAGATAGCCCCAACATGGCCTCCAAGACGGCACCAAGATGGCTCAATCGAGCCCAAGAAAGTCTCAAGAGGCTCCGAAGCGGCATCCTCCCCCTTCTCCTTTATCCTCCTTCTCCTCCTCTTCCTCTTCCTCCCCCACGTGTTCCCCGAAGGCTTTCCAAACTGACTCGGGGAACACATGGTCCGATCACTTCGCCCCCGAAGATGCCTCCAAGACGGCCCAAGATGCCTCCAAGACGGCCGATCATGGGGTCAATATTGCCAAAGACGGTCCAAGAGGCCCCCAAGAGGCCTCCGAGACGGCCCAAGCGGTCTCCAAGAGGTCCTCCAGGAGGACCCGAAGAGACCAAAACCATTAATTTCCCCTAAGTGTTTCAAAGATGGTGGCATCTGTTTCTTCTCGCCATTCGGACGGCTCCAGACGGCCTAAGAGGCCTCTTCCTCTTCCTCTTCATGTTCATTCTCCCCCACGTGCTCTCCGAAAGTTTTCCAACCGATTCGGGGAACACATGGTCCGATAGCTTGGCAGGCCTCTGGCCACAACGTTCGGCCACATAGGCACTTCCGAAAGGGCAGGGGGCGGCGGTGACTCGCCGTAGGCGTGTTCGATGGACACAGAGAAGGCCCCAGATTTCGGTTTTCGGCGGGCGGGCGTCGAGGGAAAAAAAACAAGAAGGCAGAGGGCGCTGGCCGCGTGGGGGGAGGCGAGCGACCAGCAACGGCGGCAGGAAACGGGACACGCACCCAGAGGCCAGCAGGGCAGGCGCGCGCACCCTTCGCAGCAAGACGACTAGTCTGCAAAAGCAACGACCAAGAGAAGGCAACAGCTGGCGCGAGGACAAAGCAGAGAGAACAGACGAAGAGCACGAGCCGGGAATAGGTCAAGCTCCTCGGCTGGAGGTCTGACGTCGCAAAGGCCCCGAATACGCCCCAGGCGAGCTCCACGAATGCCACCGACACGTCGAGGGGAGGGCCACAACAGATTCCGCCCAGAACCCCCGAAAGACCTCCCAATAAACGCACATGAAGTTCACAAAGACGCCTTTCCTTCAACGTGCCATCGCCGAGGCCTTGTGACCCCAGGAATGCCGGATCCCCTCACAACAATGTGGCTGTACATGTGGGGCACAATTCGTGGGTGTACCCAGCCGCCGCGACATCAGAAGCCCAGAGGGAACCGGACTCCGACCGTGGATACAAGCGAACCGCACAAAGGTCAGAGAGTGAGCATGCCGCAAAACCCACGATCCAAAAACGGTGGGGCGGCTTTGTCTGCCCCCTCAGGGGTGTTCAATTCAATTCGGCGGGCCCCCTGCGGGTCCTCGTCGTGTTAGCTAGCCGTCGAGACAAGATGATGAGATGGACGACGATGGCGGAGAGTGAGACTGCATACGTACATGCATGCCATGAGCGGTTTCGCACATTACGCTGGCCGATTCGATTCTTTCTCCTGGGGGCACGTACAAAAAAAACACGAGCAAAACGTGCTACCAGCACGAGGCCCACACGCGTGACAGCTCCTGGGACAAGCGAAAGCACGAACGTGATGCGCGCTGCGGGCTGCGAGGTCCTCGTTTCAGAGCACCCCTCGGTTATTTCCTGTCTGATATCATTTCGGAACGTGTAGAAATACGATTGGCCAATAACTTCATGGCTACGACACTGCCATGTCGGCACACCCCTCATTATTTTCCTGCTCCATACTCTACTGGGACATGTAAAACTACGAATGATCTGCGCCCCGAGCGTCACGAAGGGTTCAGTTCTGGGCACCCCTACTGGAACACGCAACAATACAAGTGCCGGCAGGCTCTTGAGGCTCGTAACCAAAATACTGATTTTGGCATCCAGTCTCCTGGGGGGCGTCAACATGCGAGTGAATTGCTCTTCCATGTTGATGGGAACCTCAACTCGGCACACCTCTCATGCACTTCGTGAATGTTGGCGCTCACCTGGCCCCCGAGACAGCCCCTTGGAGCCTCAATTCAGGGCACCCCTCACGCACGCTGTGCCCCGTTGACCCCAAGCAAACCACTCACGCACGTCGTGCCCGATGGACCCCAAAAGGCCCTCAGCTGGCCTCCAGGACCCAGCTGGCCCCCGAGACTGCCTCATCCCCGAAGGGGCGCAAATACGCATCCAAGAAACATTGCGGCGATTGGTACCGACCCTCGTCGAGGCAGTATCCCTAACACCCATTGGTTGACAAACCTGCGTGCGAGCTTCTCCCTGCGGGCCCGCTGTGACTCCCGCTCTGCGGGCTCAACGAGAATGGTCCGAATGGCCGCGGGCAAGAAAAGTTGGAGGTGCCAAAGACATGTGCGAAGGAAACCCATCAAGGTTCGGGCGGTGGAGACCGCACCCCTGGAGGGGGGAGCAACAAAATTGGAGGAGGGGGGGAAGTTCTGCCGGTGCTCCTGCGCCCCGCAATCAAGCGCGCGCTCCATCAGGCTCCTGTCCAGCTGCTTGCCTCGCTGAGCCGAACTGCCGATCACCAGCGGCGGCAGCTGCATGTGGTCCCCCAAGAGTATTACGTTTTCCGGCCGCATGCACAGCATCAGCGGCGCATAGCTCTCTGGCGTCGCGCCTGCCTCGTCGAGGATGACCACGAGGAGCCTGCGTGGCTCCGCAACACCTTTCCAGGCCTCGGAGGTGCTGTGGTACCTCTGGAGCTGCTGCACCTTGTAGCTGGACGAGATGGTGCAGAGGAAAACCGACGTCCGACATACGATACGGCGCCGCGTGGCTTCGAGCTCCGCGTCAAGCGCCGACTCCGCACTCGTCTCCGCCACCTCATGAACGACCCTCTGGTGCTCCAGACGCTCCACCTCATCTCGCACCCCCTTCAACTTTGCGAGCGCCAGCTTTTCGTCAGTGATACCAATCTGCTGCCTTATTCGCTGAACCTCTTTTCGCGCCGCCACCACTTCCGGCTCTCGCTCGCAGAGCGCATCCAGGGTGAATTTCTCAGCGGTCTTGCCCATGCGGCCGGAACTGCCAACGATGAGAATCGGGAAATGCTCGTCGTGGGTGCGCCCCAGCTTCTCCGCGATGCTGTCCACTGCCTGGTTAGTGACCGCGCAACACACCGCGAACGCGCCTTCACCCTCGCGCAGGCAGGAGCGGTTTGCCGAAATGATGTGGAAGATCGTCGTGCTCTTGCCCGTGCCTGGCGGGCCATGAATAATTTCCAGTCGGTTATTCAAGTTCTGGATTGCACGTTCTTGATGCTCGTTGGCGGGTATGACATCCCCAATCTGCTGCTTGTCCGGGTAGGTGCCCCGCACCGCGGCTCTGGGATTCAGCAGCGCTCTTTCCATGTCGGTGCCGCCCGCGGACTTCAGCTCCATCGCGGCCACGTAGCGGGACAAGTAGTCTCTGGCGAACAGGCGAACCTCGATCTGTATGCTGCCAGATGGATGGCGTGGCTGATCCTCGAGACGACCATGGCCCACGCTCCATCCCTCAAGCACGGCCCCCGAATCCATCGACGAATTCTGCAGCTCGCAAGAAGAAATCCAGAAAGGCTTACCGTTCACCTCCACAATGTTGTCCCTGATGAGCATCGTTTACCCGATCCCTATGCTCACTGGCATGGCCTTGGTCCCACTGGCCAACTTACCCGTAGGTGGGGGTAGATGCTGTTCCCTTCGAGTTTCGTGGGACCTGTCCCCACCTGGGGGGGTGGGCTGGTGGGCTGAGATACCATGGCCTAGTGGGGATTGGGATCGGTTAGACGATGCTGGCCTGAGGTGGCAATTCGCAGGCTCCTGCTCGCGGGACAAGTCCACGACGAGCTCGTCACCCGATCGCCAGGCTTGGAAAGTGTCGCTGCACCGAGACTCTCGCGACTCCCTGAATGCAGTGGATGCCTCGGCCAAGATGTTCTGCGCAATGTGCGTGTAATACGATTCCCTTTCTTTCTTTTCGTACAAGTCCTGAACCGCCACGAAATGCGGCACGGGTGCAGCCGTAATGCCCGTGAGAAAACGCTTCTCCTCGTCCGAGATCTCCATAGGATGCTCGAACAACGCCCGCTCCGCTGGGGCGCCGCCCTTGCTGGATCTCGCGCTGGGCTGCTGGAGGTGCTAGCGCACACTCCTTGATCCGAGCTGACGTGAGCCAGGCTGAACGTGCAAGGGATCCGCTCACGAGGGATGACCATCGCCATATCTGTGACCCTGGGGCTAAGATTTCCGGTTCCCGGTCCCATGGATACGCGATCTCGTGGAAGCGCCAAGGTCGAGGCATTTACGCCGAGCAGCTCCCAGGCGTATCGATGTCCACGCGGTCAGGGTCGGGGTATCCTGGTTCCGAGGGTGTGGGTGTGGCTACGAAGGTTTAGCCCCCTTTGCTCCCCGCTCGAATCGCAAGAGATAACGAAGAACCCAAATCAAGAAGGAAATAATCTCGTGCTGCTTCACGCCATGTGCCTCTTGCGCCTATCCGTAGCCTGACATGTAGCGCTTTGTCAGGCGCGGCCGACCAATTGTGGGCGGGTGCGACTTGAGCTCGTCAAATCCGGCGCCGGCCCAATAGGCCAAAAGCGTGCTAGATCTCTGGTACGAGGCTCTCAACGATTCCTTAAGCAGTGCGTGCACTTAGGGGTTCTTACTTGGCTGTCGCATGTACTTGAACGGGTTTTCGGGGTTGTCGCCAAGTTGGCGTCCGTGCGTGCCCGCTCGTGGGCGCCTCTTCGGCGCCCCCGTGCGCTGGGCGTGTTTCCCGAATGTTCGTCCGATTGGCGCGCATGCCCACTCCTGGGCGCCCCGTGAGCGCCACCATGCGCTTTCACCACATAGCGCGCACACCACAGCTTACACCACATAGCTTGCACCACATAGCTTGCAACGTAAGGCTTACACCACATAGCTCACACCGCATGGCTTACACAACATAGCTCACGCTGCGGAAGATGTCGTCGTAGCTCACACCACGTATTACATACCATAGAACACACGACATAGCTCACACCGTATAGCTTACACATCATAGCTTGAACCACCTAGCTCACGCCGCAAAGCTCACACAGCATAGCTTTCATCACATAGCTTTCATCACCTCCACGGTGCAATAGCTCACTGTTTTGGGCCCACACTGGCCGAGAGCAGCGCAGGTAATAAAGACATGTACATTTACATACATATATAGTTCGCGCACATGGCGGCCCCTAAAAGTCCTGAGAGGATAAGTACCCCGGGTAAGTGATGTCAGAGATGCTGAAACTCCAGAGCGCGGCCTTCAGGGCGTCCCTGGATCGCCCCAAGAGAGCTCCAAGAGGAGCCCAAGAGGGACCAAGAGCGGGGACCAATGGGTGGCACACCCCAAGCCGGCCCCCAACGCATCCCTAAGATGCCCCAAGATAGCTCCAAGGTGACTCAAGATAGACCAAACCCCCAAGAGGCCCCCGAGCTGGCAACATCTTTTAAGACTGAACGTCTTCAATAATTGTGAATGTCTCGCCTGTTCGCTTCCGATGAGCTTTTTTGAAGACTCCAAATGCCTCCAATGTCGCTCAAAGTAACTCCTGGGGACGCCCATGTTGGCTCCGACACGGCCCTGGACCGCCCCCCAGAGACGCCAAAAGGGGGCCCAGGAGGACCCAAGCGCGGGGGTCAATGCGTGGCAGGCCCCAGGGTGGCTCCCAAAACAGCCCCAACAAGCACCATGATAGCCTCAACGTGGCTCAAGATGGACTAAGGCTCACGAAGACGGACCCCGAAGAAAGCAACATCCTTCAAAGCCAAACGTGTTTCATGATGTTTGCTGCCACGCCTTGTCGCCTCCTATGGGCTTCTGAGGCCCCCAAACAGCTCCAATATCGCTCAAGCTAATTCCAAGAGGAGCCCAGCTTGGCTCCAAGAGGGCCCTGGGAACCCCAAAAAGAGCGGCCAAAGGAGGACCCCAGAAGACCCAAGAGCGGGAATCAACAAGTGCCAGGCCCCGAAATGGCCATCAGAATAGCCCCAAGGGGCACCAAAATAGCTGCAAGGTGATCCAAGATGGACCAAGACCGCCCCAAAAAAACACAAGCAGTCAAAACCGAAAAGGATGTGCTTGTCTCGTCGTGTCGCTTCCGATTGGCCTCTGAGGCCCCAAGATGGCCCCAATATCGTTGAACAGAGGTCCAAGGGGAACCTAGCAAGGCTCCAAAAGGCTTCCGAAGACCCGCGAAAGCGACCCAGGAGCGCTCCAAGAGGGCTCCAAGAGGAGCCCAGGAGGGCCCAAGTGCGGGGACCCATGAGTGGCAGGCCCCAGGATGGCTCCCAAAACAGCCCGAAGAGGCCCCAAGAGAAACCTAAGATGGTCCAGTGTGGGCTAAGAGGCAACAAAGAGCCCCCAGGAAACGCCCAGACGCATCCCAAGAGTCCCCCACAATGCTCCGACAGCGTACGAAGGGGCTCAGCATAACAGAAACGTTTAAATGTTTCCAGTGGATGATGAAATATCGTGCTGTCGGGCTTCGGTGGAAAACTTGGGTGGAGGCGGCTTCCGTGAGAGTTGCCTTGTCTTCGCAACGACTGCTTCTCCCCCCACGGGAGACTCACACGACTGCATGGGGAAACTACCACCACCCAACACCTTCCCAACCACCTCGAGCACACAAGCAAATGGCAACGGTGATACAAGATGGGCCGGCGGAGCGCGAGAATCGGTTGAATGTCACGGTCAGTAACGTTTGCCGATTGTCGCGGCGGCGGCCTCAGCGACGCGCTATGCCCTGCGAGCGGATAGCGTGTCGCTCCGCTCCGCTGGGCGAGAGGACTCGAAAGGCTCGGGACGTTGACGCTGGGGAATGGGGACGCAGATAGCGGGTCGGGCCGAAACGCGGTGGGCCAGAGCCAGCGGAGCGACACGCGAAACTAACGTTCCTGACCAGATGTATCAAGCTGGCGGCAGACCCAGCCCTTCGCATCTGTATCAAGGGCTCCCAACTTCGCGCTTCGCGAAGCGCGAAGTGCGAACAACTTCGCGCTCTCGCGCCGCCTCCAATGGGAGAAGAGGAGGACGAGGAAGAATCGGAGCCGAACCGCGACGCGCGAAGCGCGAACAACTTCGCGCCCTCGAGGGCGCCCTTGTGCATGTAGTGCGGGGGGGGCCCTCGCCCTGCGGGGCGCCGGACGCGCGAGGGGCGCACTGGCACGGAGAAAGCGGACCAGAACATCGATCGCGCCCACTGCGTTCTCGCGCCCCGACGGGGGCCAGCTGTGCGGCCTCTCTGTGGGGCGCAGAGAGTGTGAGCGGTGCGCCGCAGAAAAAGCGCGCCGACCGCAGACTCGCAACCCAACACGGGGCGTGGGATCGGCCGCCGGAAGAGCACACAGTGCGCTAGGCGGGTGCCGAATTGAGCGCGCCGGCGGCATCCTCGCACACCCGCCTGGGACCGTGGGCGAAGCTCCCTGCGGGGGCGCGGAGCGCGTGAGGGCCGCAGCAGCATGCAGCAGGCAGCATACAACAGCGGCGGGGAGGGGGGAGGGCTGGCAGATCGAAAAATGGGTTGGGGCAAGGGGGGGCCTTCAGAGAGGGCAGGGGAGCTTATCAGAGGCCTTCCTTCCTGCTTTCTGGAGAAGATTCTTAAAAGTTCTCGATACCGGGAAGCCCCCCCTGCCCTCAGTAATGAAAGAGGCACCCCCCTCGCCCCAACCACGCTGGCACTGCTCCGATAGGGGGAGGTGTGTGGGAAGGCGTGGGCGGCCCTGCGAGTTGAAAGCGGGGGCCAACCCTTCAGAAGGGTTAGAGAAGAACTCCGTTTTTTTGAAATCGCAAATTTCGCAATGTGTGGTTGGTACGTGAGCCTCTGCTCAGATTTGTTGCCCTCTGATGGTGCGGGAGCAAGCCAACGTTGGCCGTCTCTCATTTGATGTTCTATGCCCCGCGACATGCGCAAGATGCGGCGTAGAATGGCCGCTGCGACTAACTCTGGCGCCAAACGCACAGATTGCTGTTCGAACGGTCGAGCTGCGACTCGCGCTGAGGATCTGTAACACGGCACGCAGAGCTTGGGCATCGGGATTCGATTGAATCGCACAGCCGCTGTTTGTCCAGCGAAAAATCTAGAGCCATATGCAGTCCTCTGGTTGGGCACACCTGTTCGCACCGGGCAGCGCTGACCCATATAAACTACAAGCCGAATGCGATTATAAGACTTCAAAAGGCTTGGACAGCAAATCCCACAACAAAACTATTATCAGCATTCTAAACGTGAAATACGCAAGGCCAAAGTATTTGCTTCTATGAATTCGCAGTTTGCGGAACATCCGAGGGGGTCAGCTGCTGAACTCTGTCTTGGACACATATTGGCCGATGTATGATCTAGGGCTCGAGGTCTCTCCAATCAGCATGTGCCATGCAAACTCATCGGCTAGGTTCGCATTGTGGGGACGGGTTTTTCATCGGAGGCTCACAATCGAGACCATTGCTGCCGGCGACGTCACACTGGCCAGAATTACTGAATCATTACCATCAAATGTAATCACGAATCGCATCGGAGTGTTCTATGGACAGTGCCGCCAAACGAACAAGAGAAGGCACTGCTCTGCAAACGCTGGATCGAGTTCAACTGTCCGCAAAACCAGAAGAGCTTGCACAACATGCTTTACCTCTACACTGCCCAACGCTGCCGAAGTTTCGGAGCGCCACTGCGCGCGCGAGAAACTACACGGATCCTTCTCGCTCCAGGCAAATCTAGTTCCGCTCGCTCACACCTCTGCCCGCCCCCCTGCACCTTGCAGTTCCCATCGCTTTCAACCTTCCCCTTCCCCCGTTTCCTGCTTTTCCCTCTCGTCCTACTTTTCCAACTCCTGCCCCTCGTCGCCCGCTTCCTCCTACACTTTTCTACGTTGGACTAACGTGAAGAACTAGCCTGTCGCTTTGTTGCAGATGCTGAACAAATAAAACTGATTCGGGTCACTGTACCTGACGGGCGCCGCGGAAAATGAGGAAACGAGAGCCTAAGAAAAGTAAAGAAAAGGGAGTGGGCGCCCGCCAAGTAGAGGACGACACAAACCTTAGTGGA